CGGAAATGGAACGGAAGATTCAGGCTTTCGAGCATAAATGCTATAGACGAATTCTACGAATCGGCTATTTACAACATAATACTATTAAAGAACCCATACACCCCAGTTATGGCCCCTGAAACTCCACGGGGGGGTATTTATTCCCCCAGGTGACACGCGTGGTCATTCTGCTGAGTAACCACCGACCTGGCCGCATCGATATACCAGCTAAGTGATTCTGTGTATCAATGTAGTATTGTTTAATTTGTACGTGCTGATGAAGGCTTAATAGCCGCAACGTTCACGTTTTGTTTGTATTTGTTATTGTGAAGCTTGCTAATATATTTTTCGTTCGGGTTTATATCTTTTCTTGATAATAAAGTTGTAAGAGCTAAATTCAATAAATTTGCAGGACTTCAGGAGCCTCTTCTAGCAGTCGTGGAACGTCGCAGGTTTGCTTGATTAGGGCAGATGGTCAGACATAATTCGATTGCAAAGATTGTACTTCAAGGAACTTTAAAAAAAAGGGGGGGGGGCGGCAGGGTAGTCGAGAATAGCCAGAAATGAACAAGACTAAATTACTATACACTTGTTTGACAAGCAGAAAACAGTGGAAGATTGTGGGTTTTGTGGTTAGTGCTTCCATCTACACACCTCCACGACCTTAACGGATCAAAGGTTATGTTATGTTATGTATGATTTTATTACTTACAACTGCACATGTACTGCTGTTTTCTTAAAGCGGTGAATTTCTTTGATCTTTGTTTGACTTATAATCTGTGTACTCCTAAGAAAAAAAATATATAGTAACTGGCACAACCGTGTACTCCTAAGAAAAAAAATATATAGTAACTGCAACAACCGTGTACTCCTAAGAAATAAAATATATGTAATGTACTTTAAAATATATAGTAACTGGCACAACCGTGTACTCCTAAGAAATAAAATATATAGTAACTTTGTACTCCTAAGAAATAAAATATATAGTCACTCTGCACAACCGTGTACTCCTAAGATAAATAAAATATATAGTTGGCACAACCGTGTACTCCTAAGAAATAAAATATATAGTAACTGGCACAACCGTGTACTCCATATATAGTAACTGGCACAACCGTGTATCCTAAGAAATAAAATATATAGTAACTGGCACAACCGTGTACTGGCACAACCGTGCTGGACTGGATTGTACTCCTTGGTAACTGGCAAACCTGTACTCCTAAGAAATAAAATATATAGTGGCACAACCGTGTACTCCTGAAATAAAATATATAGATGCACAACCGTGTACTCCTAAGAAATAAAATATATAGTAACTGGCACAACCGTGTACTCCTAAGAAATAAAATATATAGTAACTGGCACAACCGTGTACTCCTAAGAAATAAAATATATAGTAACTGGCACAACCGTGTACTCCTAATAAATAAAATATATAGTAACTGGCACAAGCGTGGAGATTGTTTGGAAATCAGTTTACGTCTGCAGCGATGCGTGTTACTATTTTCACAGCCTTTTCGGTGTACAATAAAAAAAAGTGTATTCATCTAAGTCACAATAGGCTAATGCTGGAGTTGACTATCTGAGAGTGAACTGCCTGTGAAACGATTGCAATATGATGCTTTGAAAAACTCCCGTTAGTGTAAACATGCTGATTGTTTGCTTTGAATTAGTGTCGGTTTTTTTTTTTTTTTTTCCCATAAACCACAATAAAGCAAAATGTAAACTAGATATTCATTTACTTCTAACAAAACACACAAAAAAGAAAAACACACATTCTTGCATGGACATGATTGTTAACAGACTGTATGCCAGATTCCCACAACCTTTACAGAACGGTTACTGATTTATTTTTCAAAGTTAGACACAACATCTGGAACTGACTATAGCTTCTTGGAGATATAGATCGCAACCAGAATATAGATAACTGTTTAATTCGGTGCGGGAGCCGTGGTAGCGCAGTGGTCATACGCTTGCCTATGAAACCCATAGGTCTTGGGTTTAAAACCCACACGGGGATAGATTTTTAATACTTGATTTTTAGCTCCCAGGTCGACCTAGCCTACATTATGTATCATGGAAATGTCCTGTAAAGCAAAGGTGGCCGACGTGATGTTGATATTATCTCACATAACTACTACAGATTTGTTTATATAAAAAAAAAAATCCGTCACCGGCTTAATCACATAGGTCCTGTATTTATATCCGTCTGTGGCTTAGGCGTTGCGAGTCCGGCGTGTAATTCCAACGTACCGCGATCGAAACCCACTGCTGCCTGCGTGGATTTTTATCATGGTATGGGGCGTCGCAGGTCGACCCAGCTTAAAATAGGTACCATGATGCTTGTCCTGTGGAAGTAAAGAGGGCTGGCGTAATGCTTACTACATTACCCACCTAGTGCTGATTGGTCTGTAAAAATATTGGATGCTCTTCCCATATGCCCGATGCACCTAAAAGGCGTGAAAAGGTATCTTACTTTACTATTTATATCCTTAAGTTATATTTGGACAAAGAAGACACAAACAATAGATTGCTCAATTTATTGCCTGGTATATTTCGCTGTATCTGGTTATGTGTACACTACAGTTAAATGAGCAAAAAAGAAAATCCTTTATAACTGAAGTACAAATTCCACCATTCTCAAGATTTTTAATTCACTAACGAAGGATAGGGGAGTCTCCGTGGTGTAGCGGCTGGATGCTCGCCTGCGAATCGGAAGGTCGTGAGTTCAGGTCTTAAACGGAGCCAGACCTTTTTTTTTTATGACCTTGGCTCCCAGGTCGACCCAGCCTTAAGTGGGTACCAGTTATAGTAATGGGAAGTAAAGGCGGTCGGTGTGATGTTGACCCCATTATCCACCGTGTGCCGATTGATCTATAAAATTTAGGTCCTGCCCCATTTGCCCAATACCCCTAAAGGTGTCTAAAGGATGCACATACTCGCTTCGTTTCATTTGTTCCTGTAGTCTGCGCCTGATTGGGTACAGAGAAACATCTGCAGCTTCAGGCTTTTTAGACATATAGGACGACCTATGTTTTGTAGACCAATCGACACTTGGTGGGTAATGTGGGCAGTATTACATCGGCCGCCTTTACTTCTCGGGACTTTACCTGGTACCCATTAAATTCTAAGTCGACTTTGTAGCCAAGGACAGCGAAATATGTCCGTTAATAAATTTTACAATTCATTGTTTGTGTCTTCTTAGTTCACATTTACAACGGGAAAACATTGCTCTGATTTAATTATATAAATATTTTCTCAATCTTGTTGAAAGTAATTTTAGTCATTCCTAGTCTTTCTTTCTTTCTTTCTTTCTTTCTTTCTTTCTTTCTTTCTTTCTTTCTTTCTTTCTTTCTTTCTTTCTTTCTTTCTTTCTTTCTTTCTTTCTTTCTTTCTTTCTTTCTTTCTTTCTTTCTTTCTTTCTTTCTTTCTTTCTTTCTTTCTTTCTTTCTTTCTTTCTTTCTTTCTTTCTTTCTTTCTATTTTTTTAAATTTCAACTCCATTTCTTACAATAAGTGAAGTAAGTAAAGGACCCTTTTCCGCGCCTTAAGGCGTATAGGGCATATAGGGCTAGACCTATATTTTTGTACACCAATCGGCACAAGATGGGTGATGTGGTCAGTATCACGCCGGCGGCCTTTACTTTCCCAGGACTGCATCTGGTACCCACTCAAGGCTGGGTCGACCTGGGAGCCAAGGTCATTTTTGAAAAAAGTCCGGCTCCGCCAGGGAGCGAACCCACGACCTTCCGATCCGCGGCGAGCGTCTAGCCCCTCGGTCACGGTGACTCCCATTTTCTCACAATATAGGACATAAACAGGTTTAGGCAAAAGATTTACACATTTATTACAAACTGTAATAATTAAGGTCAGAATAAGTAGAAATAGAGACATTTATCGTAGTGGGGAAGTCTATTTATGTTAACTTCATCATCTGTAACAACCACCAGCACTATTGTGATCTTCATTAACAATAGGATTATTATAATCAATGCAACACCATTGAAATCATCATCATCGTCGTAATCATCAACAATATATCATTATCATCAAACATATGATAGAGGAGGACTTGATTGTCTTCATTTCTCAGGGTCTTGACACAGTTCATCTCCGCATAACTGCTGTTTGCTCTTCAATAGCGTTGCACAAAGCACTACACTCTGTAGATCTAGCGACGATATGTGTATATGTGTGTATATATATATATATATATATATATATATATATATATATATATATATATATATATATATATATATAAAATCACTGCATGCTTTATGCAAATGAAAGTTATCATGAAATGATGAACTAGCAGTGGAAAATCAAGCAGAAGAGTTGAGATGATTCAGTCGCGTATCAGTTTGGCTCACTTTATCTCTGTGTTCAGAATGTCATCAAATAGCTATTGTCCGGCACAATCGGAATGGAAAAAGTGGCCGTGGTGTAGTGGCTAGATGCCCCTCTGCTTATCCGATGGTCGTGGGTTCGGGTCTTGAGCCTTGGCTCCCAGGTCCGCCCAGCCTTAAAAGGGTACCAGGTAAAGTCCTGGGAAGTAAAGACGGTCGGTGTGATGTTGATCACACCAGCGACCGAGTGCTGACTGGTCTATGAAATATCGGTCTGCATTAAAGGCACTGAGTTCGTGGAAAAGGTTCTTAACATATTCCAATGGCAGTTAGTTCGTATAGTCTCATTAAACTGTAACAGAATGTAAGATAAGACAGAGCGTATGTTCTCTCTCTCTCTCTCTCTCTCTATATATATATATATATATATATATATATATATATATATATATATATATATATATATATATATAAATATATATATATATATACTGTGCAGACGGCTTAAGGTGTTGGCGAATTTCTGTTGCGAAGAACAATTCGAACAATCTTTTTATCTCCAGCAGTATTACCAGATAACCAGATGAATTTCTGATGAGAAGAACCATTTCTTATGTCCCCGATGAGTTTTCTTTATCATTTCTGCACTGTGTACTGAATGTAAACAATACTTTTAAAATAAAAATATATCATTTACATCAGGTCTTTTCTTAGGCGCTTCTTTAATATAAATATCTCTCCCATTTCTCTTCTCAATACGGAACAAAAGAACCTCTTTTTTATCTTTCTGCTTTGGTCGAGTCACAGGCAGATTCCGCTGGTTCTGTGACCCTACGTTTCCTTTGCCTTGCATTCGGGTATTTGCCTCAATCTTCTCAAGTTGCTTCAACTTTTTGGAGTACTCTGCGTGGAGTCGGCAGATTTTCATGGCTTCAAGTCTGGTTTCCATCTCGATGGCCCGAAGCTCCTTTTCGCCTTCCCTTTTCAGATCGTGATGACGCCGAAGAATCTGCGCATTGCTGGAGAAACCGCGCATCGATTCAAATTTAGCCTGCACGTCGATTTCACCTTTGGACTTTCCTGTGCGCGTAGACGACATCTTGGCAGTTTAGAGAAAAATGTAGGTATTTTTATTGGGTATTTATCCAATCGCTATATCAGCAATCTTAGTAACTTAATGAGCTGTACTTTTTTCCCAAATATTAGCACTCATAAGTTTTACAGTTTAATACCAATCTTTTTTTTTTTTAAACAAACTGGTTTCTGGGTGGTTATTCAGTGAATGTATAAGATATTCCTCAGTGATGACTCGTTGTTTGCTCTAAAAAGACTGGTCAAAATATTAGTGATATCTCATGATGACTCTCTCTTTGGCGATTACAAATCTGTCACTTCCTAGAACGACATCATGAATGTGTTTTTCTCTCTCATCTGTGTAATTTTAAAAAAACGTCTTTGTGTTCTGTATAAGAAGCTTTACTGTGGAGGTACAACCATCTGGAGATAAACAAATGTTGAAATACGTTAAGGTATTGCATTGTCAAAGATAACTAGTTCTTAAATGTAAGACATGCAAGTAATGACATGATATTATTATTTGTTTGTTAAAATGAAGCTGAGTGCGTGTGCGAGCACATATTATCGTCATCATCCTAAATTGTCAGGCCGACAGACACTGGCGTTCATTCTACAACCTGCCATCTCAAGCAGCATACATCCCCAGCTCATTGGCTTATCTTTATGTTACGTAATACGGCTGTCAAGAATCGTTTCGCGTTGTACTCCTATGTGTCTCCTTCCATACATTTTTCTAGCTGTCGCAACATGTTCCAGTTTCCCCTTTTCTCATATAATGGCTTTAAAATAACTTAAAACAATTACTGCCTCTTTCTGATGTTCATGATAAGGGCCAATCTCAGGGCGCTCACCTGTATCAAAACATTTGAGTTACTCCCTTGACTGTCCATGTACTGCATGTTTAATTCGAAAATTTACATAAAAAATACACTGGAACTGTGAACTACTCTGTTAAATATATTATATTATTTAACCCGTTTCAAAGAGGAGGAGTCGTTGTATTCCTTTTATTATAATAGTACTATTAATAATACTATAACAATAATAATATATTATAATAATATTATATCGCCCGTGTGTCACCGGGGCCCTCACGGGAAGCAAAGAATAGTGACACTGCACCCTACCAGGCATGTCGTAAGAGGCGACTAAGGGTAGGTTTGGGCGTGAGGTTGGCTACCTCATCCTGTAAAAACCATAGCCACAAAAACCAACCAACCATGGATAAGTCAAAAAGAGAAGCAAATAAACTCCAGCCAACCAAGATGAGGGGAGGCTCTTCGAATAGAAGTATGACACGGTGTGGAGAAAGCTGTAAGGAGTCCGGATCGTTGACTTACCTCCTCTCAGCTAGGAAAACCTCCAGAATTGGCACCTGGAATGTTAGAACTCTCTATGATATAGGGAGAACAATGGAAGTAGCAAAGGGAATGAAACATTATAGAATTAGTATTTTAGGGTTATGTGAAACTAGATGGACTGGGGCAGGGAAAAGTATTCTTAATTCAGGAGAAACTATTTTGTTCTCAGGACACACAGAGGAAAATTCACCGCACAGTGAAGGAGTGGCCCTGATGCTATCAAAAAGAAGCAGACAGGGCACTAATAGAATGGGAAGCTGTGAGTCCCAGAATAATAAGAGCATCTTTTAGAACAGTAAAACAGAAGGTGAACATGTCGGTAATACAGTGTTATGCACCAACAAATGATAAAGATGCACCTGTTAAGGAAGAATTTTACATGCAGCTTCAAAATATTATAAATAATGACAGAAAGGGCAACTTTAAAATTTTGATGGGTGACTTGAATGCTAAGATAGGATCAGACAACACAGGTTATGAAGAAATTATGGGGAGACATGGTCTAGGAGTAATGAATGAAAATGGAGAATTGTTCACAAATTTTTGTGCAGGTAACCAGTATGTTATTGGTGGAAGTATTTTTCCCCATAAAAGAATACACAAGGCAACATGGGAATCACCATACCATAAGACAACTAATCAAATTGACCACATATGTATTAACAAAAAGTTTAGATCATCCCTTTACGATGTTAGGGCTTTCAGAGGTGCCGATGTATTTACTGACCATTTCCTGGTGATAAGTAAAATCAAGTTGAAACTAAAAGATATATAACATCTTATAATCATAGAAACCAATATAATGTAGGCTTTTTTCAGAGATAAAGAAATTAAGGAACAGTTCTCAGTTATGGTCTCTAATAAGTACCAGGTGTTGCAGCAGTTAGCTGAAGATGTCAACACAGAAGTCTGCTGGGATCAGATCAAAGGAATCTGGAATGAATCTTGCGTAGAAGTTCTTGGCAAGAAAGAAAGGAAACATAAAGCATGGATAACACCAGAAACCATTAAACTGATTGAAGATAGGAAAAGTAAAAAGGCAGAATTAAACAATAGCAAAACTAGAGCTGCTAAAGCTAGAGCTCAGGAGAATTACACAGAAGCCAACAAGGAAGTTAGGAGGCATATAAGGGCAGATAAAGTGAAATATCTAAATGATCTAGCACAAGAAGCGGAGACAGCAGCAGCAAAAGGAAACCTCAGAGAACTTTACAGTAACACAAGAAAATTAGTAGGTAAATATAGTCAGCCAACTGGATCAATCAAAAATAGTCAAGGAAAGGTACTTACTAACACTAAAGATCAAATGGACAGATGGGTTGAATATTTTGAAATGCTTCTAAATAGACCAGGCCCAGAGGTTCCCCCAGATATCCAGCCTTTAGAAATGGACCTAGATATCAACTGTGAGATACCATCCAAAGAGGAAATTAGAAAAGCTATAAATTTTCTTAAGGAAGGAAAGGCGTCAGGCCCAGATGGTATCCCAGCTGAAGCCATCAGGACCAACATAAACACATCAACAGAATTGCTACATAGATTATTCAGTAAAGTCTGGGAGACCGAAGAAATACCAGCAGACTGGAGAGAAGGATATCTTGTGAAACTGCCCAAAAAAGGCGATCTACAGGAGTGTGAAAACTATAGAGGAATTATGTTGCTGTCAGTTCCTGGAAAAATATTAAGTAGAATTATTTTGGAAAGATTAAAAGATGCTATTGATAAAATGCTAAGAGATGAGCAGGCAGGTTTTAGGTCAAACAGATCCTGTACTGATCAGATAGCCACATTACGTATTATAATAGAGCAAAGCATTGAACTGAACTCACCACTTTACATTGGATTTATAGACTATGAAAAAGCATTTGACAGCATTGATAGGGAATCTCTCTGGAAATTGATGGGGCACTATGGAATCCCACAGAAAATTATCAACTTAGTAAAGGCAACATACAAAGACATGAAATGTCGAGTTCTTCATGAGGGAAAGCTAACAGATGCATTTGGAATAAAAACAGGTGTGCGACAGGGATGTCTTTTGTCGCCTCTCCTATTTTTACTGGCTATAGACTGGACTATGAAAACAATAACTGCTAACACCAAGAATGGAATTCAGTGGACCCCTACAAAACAGCTTGATGATCTGGACTTCGCTGATGATATTGCCCTTCTGTCCCATTCACGGAATCAGATACAAGATAAATTAAATATACTCAATGCGAGATCACAGCAGCTTGGTCTGAAAATCCATAAAGGAAAGACAAAGATAATGAGAATAAATCAGGCAAATAGTAATGTGGTTTCTCTTAATGGCACCCCACTCCAAGACGTGGAGTCGTACACCTATTTAGGCAGTAATGTAGATACAGATGGAGGAACTGATAGAGATATTAAAATAAGAATACAAAAGGCAAGAGGGGCTTTCATAGCACTAGGGAATTTGTGGAGGTCAAAAGAAATTAAAAGAAATACTAAACTAAAAATTTTTAATTCTAATGTCAAATCAGTACTATTGTGTGGGGCGGAAACATGGAGAACAACGAAGGCAATTACTAATAAATTACAGACATTCATTAACTGGTGCCTGCGCAGAATAGAGGGAATAAAATGGTATGATAGAATAACTAATGTAGAACTTTGGGAGAGAACTAAACAGGCTCCAGTGGATCAGGAGGTGAGGAAAAGACGCTGGCGTTGGATAGGGCACACACTGAGAAAACAGGAGAACAGCATAACTAGAATGTCTTTGCATTGGAACCCACAGGGGCATAGGAATAAAGGAAGGCCAAAAAACACACGGAGAAGAGAGCTGGGGAATGAGGTTAGAAAGATTGGGAGGACATGGGGAGAGCTCCATGTAATGGCGAAGGATAGAACGACTTGGCGTGAGTTGGTTGAGGGCCTATGCTCCATTGGGGGATAAAAAGGCAGAAGAAGAAGAATAATATTATAATAATATAAAAATAGACCCACTTCCTCCCCAACAAGTGTGTAATAACTTAGGGGCTTCCTTCCCAGTCGGAATGCATCTGCCTGACAGTCAAGGAATCAACAATCTGCATCTGCATACAAATAACTCAGACCTGTATAACGGATGTGCACGCAACACTTAGGTTCTAGAAAAAGATTAAAATCTAGAGGTAGATGAACAACTAGAACTTTCCACCCGAGTTGACAGCCGGTAAAGATGAAGATGATGATGATGATAATAAAAACAACAATAATAAGGCAAGGCTGAAAATGATAATTGCTAACCTCCAAAGAAGTGTATCCCTTTAATTAAATTAGAGTTTATCGCCTTCAATAAATTACATAAGTACAATCAGTTACATGAGTGCAGTCAGTCAGTTCCATTAGCTTCACTGGCTTCCTTAGTACAGGTAATTAACTTCACTGATTTACACTGGTATGGTCAATTCACTTAAACGAATTACACTGGCTTGGTAAATTTCCTTCACTGAACTACACGAGTAGGGTCAAATAACTTCACTGAATTACACTGGTATGGTTAATTACCTTCACCGAATTTCACTGGTATGGTCAATTAACTTCACTGAATTACACCAGTAGGGTCAAATAACTTCACTGAATTACACTGGTATGGTTAATTACCTTCACCGAATTTCACTGGTATGGTCAATTAACTTCACTGAATTACACT